GGGTAGAATGTTGCCAATAGCTAACGCAAGCTTTCAGCTTATCTTGCGCTGATCTGAGACTCACAGAAATGTTACAGAAATGTCAACTCGGAGCGACCGTATAAAAGGAGGTTTGAATCGTCCGCTCCAGCTCTCGCTACGTCTCAGCCGTCTTCGCAATAATCTATTCGTCGTGCTTCAAGAAGGTTATTCGATCTGCTACCAATAGATTTCTGTAAGGTCATTCAATAAACTGATTGTGCTTCTTGGGCAGTTACTCAAGAACCGCGTGGCACTCAAGAATTTGAGTTTAGGCGAGCAAGAATCAAGACTGCCTCAAGACATCAAGACCGGTCAAGGAAATCTAAAAATTGGTGCATCGGCCGCTTCTGGGCTTTAGACGCAGCCGGGACAGAGCAATTTGCCAGCACGAAAAGGAAGCTCGGAGGGCAATAGATGAGGAAGTGTGGAAAAATTCAACGAAACAATAGAGCACCGTGCAGATGGGTATTATGTCCGCCTCCCTTGGATAGATCAGCACCCGCAACTACCTGACAATAAAGCAATAGCTTTCAAGATTTTGGTGAACGTTTGGGCAGCAATAAAGAAAGACAAACAACTTCTAGACCAGTACAATAATGTCTTTCTTGACCAACTCCGCCAAAACATCATCGAAGTGGTAGATGAAAATGAGCTACCACCAGGGGTCCAAGTGCATTATATTCCGCACCAACCAGTAATCACCGCCCACAAGACAACGACCAAGTTACGGGTAGTGTTCAATGCCTCCGCACATTATAGAGGATGTCCGTCCCTGAATGATGTCCTTCACAGAGGGCCAGTAATCCTACCACTACTTTTTGGGATACTACTGCGATTTCGAATTGGAAAAATAGCAATAGCATCGGACATAGAGAAGGCATTCTTAGAAGTCCGACTGCATGAGCAGTTCCGCTTTACGCGGGTCACCTTTGGGCTGAAGTCGTCACCGTTTTTATTGGCAGGAGCAATTCACTACCACCTCCGGACACTTATAAACTCGGAACAGCCATTGGTGCACAATATCAAGAAGATGTACGTGGATAACATCGTGCTCACCACAGATTCAATAGAGGAGGCTTTGGAGGTCTATACGAGAACGAAACAGATCTACAAGGATCTCAATATGAATCTGAGAGAGTTTTCTTCCAATAACGAAAGCTGATTGGAAATATAAGAGAGACAGATAGAGCCTCAAGTTTTCATCCCAAAGCCCTAGGTTTAGTATGGGATATACAGAGAGACACGCTTCTTATTTCATGCAATTTCCCCCATATATCCGTATAACAAAAAGAACAATAACAAGTGCAATATCCTCAATATATGATTCCTCTCGGCTGGATTGGTCCTCTACTTCTCCGAGCGAAAATGTTCCTCCGAGAGCTGTGGAAACACCAATTCGATTGGGATAGCGTACTGCCCCAGGAAAGAGAAGAAGAATGGGGAAGAATAATGGAAGCAGCACATGGGTTTTCCAAACCTATGACCCGATATCTATCACCAAAGCAAG